TCCTATTTTAATATGGAGAAGGTTTTTTAGGTCCTACACTTCCCTAACTTGTATAAAAGGAGAATACAACCCACGCTTGGAGGGGCTTATAACTAGTTTTTCTTCTCTTCTCTTCTCTTCCTTTAATCTCATAGTTTATTAGTTATAGGGTTGTGGGTGCTACATGAACGTTGTAGTTCGATATTGTTCTTGCACTTTTATGATATTGGTTTATTTATTCAATCATTTGTTTAATTATTTTATTGTTTGATCATCAATTGAATATTATATACGAATCTAGGATTGAACTCGAAGGTAAGAATTCTAGATTGCATATAAGATTGAGTAGAGCAAGATCTTGAACTTGAACTACGGGGAACGGATTCGCAGTTAGGATAAGCTTATACCTAATCGCCTTGCTTAATTGCTATACAAGAATTATTAATGCATTGTTGTTATTCCTAATTCCATAGAAATACTAGCGTGAGGTAGCTTGAATAGCCGAGTAATACTTCAATCGAATGCTACGAGTAACATTAACAATGTCAACCGATAAACCAGATAACTTAATTAGACTATTCGAGTGGAAGGCTCAATGAGATTGTTAGCTCACCCACGGCTCAGAAATATTTTCTCTCATTGATTCATCTCTAAGCTTGCCGACTTGTTTCCTTAATTAGTTTCCGAGTTTACTGCTCTAGATTAGCTTTAATTAAATAGTCTCACTTTAAAAAATCACTTGAATAAATTAATTATTTTAGATTGATTAGTTGATAGTTAATCACAAGTTTTCATGAGAACAATATTCTACTTATCATTTTATTACTTGTTGATCATGTATATTTGCGTGTGCGTTTAGCGTAACATACACGCATTAAGATTCTCCGTTTCCCGGAGCAAAAACACTCCAATAAGTGTCTTCAATGTTTTGTTTTCGAACCTTTAATTTTTCTTTTTCTTTTTTAAACAAAAAGAACACTCATTTGTTCGTTTTAGCAAATTATGTTTTCCAATGCAGTTTTAATTTCGACCTTTTGAAATATTAAGATGAACAAGGGAATCAAAAGAAGAGATCGATATATATCAGTCAAGTCTGCCATTCATCACAAGTCCCTCAATCAGTAGATTATGATGATCATCCGGGATATCATGCTGGGATTCTGCTGCCTCTTCTCTGTATATATCACTGTTTACCCATAAGGATTACATAAGATAAGCAGAAAACAATCGAGTCATTTCATCATATTAGCGAATCCAAAAAATGCGTTTCTTAATGCATAAATTTTCATGGGGTGAGTTCAACTTAGAAGGAAATGATTTCCCATCACAAATTATAATTTTATAAAGATTTCATATTTTAGTTATCGATTTCATGTGTTATTGTTTTTTCAATATTTTCATGGGGCGAGTTTAATTCTGGGACTCGCCTCGGGGCGGGGTACTACCAAAACGCCTTGAGACTCATGTGTGAGGCTTAGTTCTGCGAGGCCCAAGCGCCCGATTGTGCACCCTAAACACACCTAACGCTCAACGCCCGAGACTCGCCCAACAGTTCCTATGCAAATCAAGTATTGAATTCACTAATTTGTAATGTTAGACTCTCAAAATTCTTTAACAAATAAATGATTAAAGTTCTTTTTATCTATAGGAATACAAAATATTGTAAATAACTCAAATAACGAACCATAGTATTGTATATTTACTAATTGAAAACATTTTGAGGGTGAATATTGAATATTTCTTCTGAAAATAGATAACCAAAATTTATATTTTCATTTGATAGATCTTTATTTCTTAGTTCTATGTCTCTCAAATTATCATACATTTCTTATTTTACTATTTAAAAATAATTTTATATTTACTTGTGAAGGAGTGATATTTTAAATGACAACGTTGATAAAATTTATTGAGTATTTACCTTTAAAGAGGTAAAATATGTAGTTTGATAATATTTTTTAAGAAATTATAATTTTTAATTATTTGAAGTTAAGAGGTTGTGGTTAATTTATATTTCATAGTAATTATAATAATATTGTATTATTTATACTTGTAAAACATGTTAAATATTTTATTTTATATGAGTTTCCTTAATTATATTTAGTTTTCTTAAACTTTTAATGTATCTTTTATATTTTTATTGTGTTATAATGCTATAGTATTAATTCATATATTTTAAAAAATTAAAAATCTGTGGGTCTTACGCCCATGTATTGAGGCTTTCGCCTCGCTCTTTATTAAGTAAAACGTCCCGCTTCACGTCCTCATTTTTTAAAAGTCTTTAATAAATGAATGATTAAAGTTCTTTTTACTATAGGAATATAAAAATTGTGAATAACTCAAATAACGAACCATAGTATTGCATATTTACTAATTGAGAATATCGTGAGGGTGAATATTGAATATTTCTTCTAAAATAGATAACCAAAATTTATATCTTTACTTGATAGATTTTCATGTCTTAGCTCTATGTCTCTCAAATTATCATATATTTTTTATTTTTCGATTTAAAAATAATTTTATATTAACTCATGAAGGAGTAATATTTTAAATTATAGTATTGATAAAATTTATTGAGTATTTACTTTTAAAGAGGTAAAATATGCAGTTTGATAATATTTTTTTAAGAAATTAGAATTTTTAATTGTTTAAAGTTAAGAGGTTGTAGTTAATTTATATTTCATAGTAACTATAACAATATTGTATTATTTATACTTATAAAACATGTTAAATATTTTATCTTAAATGAGTTTCCTTAATCCTTTTTAGTTTTCTTAAACTTTTAATGTATCTTTTATATTTTTATTGTGTCATAATGCTATATTATTAAATTATATATTTTAAAAAATTAAAAATTCGCGGGTCTTATGCCCATGTATTGAGGTTTTTGCCTTGCCCCTTATTAAGTAAAACGTCCCGCTTCACGCCTTCGCCTTTTAAATATTGATCTTGTGTGTATTAAATATATACACGAGATAACATTTGTAATAAATCATAAAATTTAACTCCTATTTTCTTTAATCTCACACATTCATATCATCTATCATTTTGGGCAAAATGTGCCATCCAGAAGTGTGATTATGGGTGGCAGAATGGTTAAAAGAAAATAACTAACCACCCATATTTTTCACTAAATATGGATTGGATAATGAACTTTTTAAAAACGAGTCAAATATGGATAATAACTATATTATCCATTTAGAAAATGGATAACCAATGTGTTTAACTTTTACATTTATAAAATCTCAAATTTGGGGTTTCTCAAGTTCGGAAGATTAGGAATTCTCCAAAAAATGATCATATTCATGAAACCATGGATAATATGGTTACCCATATTATCCGCCAGTTAATCCGTTTTTTATGCGTATTAAATATGGGTCGGTCGGATAGTTTATCTGTTTTTTCATTACTCATTTTTTACCCGTTCCATATCCGACCGAACCCGCCCGTTTGCCAACCCATGTGATAGTCATTCGTTGTTTAAGCGACTCGAGATTGCAAGAACTTTAAACTGTATAAAACGTTCAACTAAGTAAAATGTACCCATGTATTTACTAATATTGGAGCAAAAGCTTTCCAACCTAAGAGCTCTATATGAGTGCACCGTTCTACCTACAGTCTAGAAGGTAGGCAGAGACGGATCTAAAAATTATAGAATATGTAAAGAAAGGAGGAAAAAAAAGTATTACTAATTGGGAACCAATTTACTGTTTTTTGGGGTAAATAACGCAATATTTAATCAAGTGTACCATTTAACCTATCTGAAACATGCGGCATGCAAATCATATTAGAGAAATTCTAGAAAATATATTCATTAAATACCTAATTTGGTGAAGGAACCATAATTTCACGTACCCATCATCTAGGCTACAAATACGCCCCTGAAGATAGGCATGCTCACCTAGTGAGTTTGCCCTCTATCCATCCAGAAGGATTTAAAAAAAATACCAGAACCATATTTATTCGCATTGGATGTTATAATATATCAAATCAAGCAAGTCAATCTTAACAATTAAAAGTAAAGTAAAACTGCATGTCATTTATGTATGTAAAATATCTATGTTGCATGTATTAGTTTGGTGTAATGTGGCAAAAAAGAAATACTGTAGTACTAAGTTTGAATCAAAACGAAAAGGTGGAAGGACACACTGGAGTTACAGTTCTACAGCGTACTTCACTGTTCAGTAGTCTCTAGTCATCCCCACCATTTTGTACTTCCATATATTGCCTGTTGTGACTATCTGAAAGTGAGAGTATCTAACCATTGGATCAACCAGCAAGTCCTGCACACTAAAGGACAGAAACTCCCCCTCTCCCACTGTGCAAACCGGGTCCTCCACCGGGTACGGGTCATGGGCATTTCTCCACTTCCTAATGTTGAGAACAAAGCAAATTGATATATAGAACAAAAACCAAAGATCTTCACAGGTCATACAAGTAACAATCCTCTCTGCTCAGCTTCAACTTACAGTCAACAGAAACCCCGTCTTTCGTGGGCGTCTTTTTAGGCATGTTATAACGTCATTATTATCACAGCAATTGTCACTCATCTTCTTCATCTGCTACTACTCTCTTCGGAATCTAAAGTACTAGTACTACTTCAGTACCCTTTCTTTTTAGCTCATGGCGCGCGCATTACGTGCATGAAACACTAGGCATCCATATATGACAACTTAAGCTTCCTTCAGTATATTGATCAGTTTTCACATTCAGGCAGATGTATACGATTAGAAGCTTAAATTCAAGAAGAAAGGAAAAAGAAAAGTAATTAAAAATCATAAAAGTAACAGAAAAAATTACCTCAAACCCTAGGCACGGCCAGAGAAATCAAACTAGTTTTTCTTGAAGATTTAATTCCACAATCAACCATGTTCAGAAGTACTAATGAAACTTGATATCCATCCCGCATAAAATACATATTGTTGATTAGAAAGACCAAATGACGTAAGGCACACACTAGACATAATATTGAGAATTAATGCTTAAGCTTGAATTTAACGGAAATAAACAAGGTACACAATATATAGTTTCTCAAAAAGATTAGTTAACTACATTTAACACGCATGGCGCATAACCTTTTTATGTGTTCTTTCTTCTAAAATTCTAATACAACATCCAAAAACTTCTTCTCATACCCAGCCGTAGTCATGATACCACAGCACAATGAAACAGGCTGAACCTAGAACAACATAGTTTCATTTACACACAAATTAAAGTACTATACTACATATAACTAGTGCTACCTACTTTCAAAGTAAAAAGCTAGCTAGCTACTTCTTCCCAAATCCAAGCTTCAGATCAAGCTCCACAGCAGGCGTACTGCTAGAGCTGAAAAGATGGGCAGCTGAAGTTACCACGGAGCATTTCCTGGTTGTAGGCATATTGCTTTTATTAGCACAAGAACTAATTTTCTTATTCTTTTTTAGTTCAGTAGAGGTATTAGAAGAGGATGAAATTGATGTTGGTGATGAATTCAAAGGTAAAGGCACAACTGGAGGAATTTGGAAGTTGGTTCGCGCCTTTGAGCCTCTTAGCCACCTAGCAGCCGCGTCATACGCACGCGCAGCCTCCTCTGGCGTGTCGAAAGTACCAAGCCAGTGGCGGCACCGCCCTATACGGTCACGTATCTCCGCTGACCACCTCCCCCACGGCCTCTTCCTCACTCCTCTGTAGCTCCTCTCCACTGGAACATTTCTCTTTTCTTCTTTCCTCGCGCCGCCTCTGTATTTGTCAGGTGCAGGGCACGTGCGCTTCAGAATCGAAACTGCAGTACTACTCTCAGAATTTTGATCAACACTTCTCTTGTTTTTATTATTACAGCTGCCAAAAAGAACATGTTCTCCAACTACAGCTGCAATCCCTTCAAGAACAGGGGGTTTCTCATGTTCGGTAGTTGGAAATTCAGAAAAAGAGTACTGAAGTGGGTCAAGATAATTAGTGGAGTCAATGCAGAGATGATCAATTGGTTCATTTGGGTAAAGGGATTGTTGTTTAGAGAGGAAAAAAGGGTCAGTTTTTTGAAGCATTTGAGTATGGGTATACATTGTCTTTGTGCTTTGTGCTAAAGATAGAAGATAGACAAAGCGATCTTCTTTGAATTGTGATAAAGTTCAACAGTTTATAAACTCAAAGAAGATTGGTTTTCTATTTGGAAATAGTAATTTATTAGAGGGTCTAGGATTTTATAGATATGGCTGTTAAATTCGATAAGACCACAATCCGTCATGTTTATTAAATATCACTGTTTTAACTCTGTCCTTACTTGCTAGGGAGGGATATACTCTTGTTTAAGGACAAAATTACCCAATGAATCCCTCAGGTGACTAGAAATATTATTTAACTGGCTAAAAAAATTAAATTATAAAATTTAAAATAAGTCTTAAATTTTGTATTTTATTGTTTTAAAATTTCTAAATGTAAAAAATTAGCATTTTTTGTCAATTTAAAAAGGGAAAAGTGTTAAACATAAAATGAGAAAGGAAGTAGATAATCTCATGCAAGGAGATAAATGTCTTTGTGTGAAAAGTGATTGATACGAAATACTGTAATCAGATACTGAGAATACAAAACTGGGTTGGAGTTAATTTATGGAATTAATGATCTCGAGAAAATAAGGGAATTGGGTTAAGAGCCGTAGGATTACTTTACCCTTAATGCGTCACAGTGGCGTCAAGAAGAAAAGCTTGTTTAACTGCATGGCCATGATTGCTCCCTTTAACCAGAGGAATATTTGGGTGTATCACAAGTGCATTTGTCTAACCGTGCGGTTGCTGTAAATGAACCATCATATAGAAAGATGAAATCTGATTGAACAGAATAACATAAACCAAGTGTTTGGTTAATCAGGTGTAAGGAGTTAAAAAGATTTGATGATCATAAGTAAGTTACGTGCATGGGCAAATAATGTGATCACATCGATCAATCAAAGATAAGTGGGAGTGGGTACTACGTTATAAAAATTCTGGGAGGTGGGAAATTATTTTGGACGTGCTCAAATAACAGTGTAATCTTTTGGAGTGCAGTAAAAGAGACCTTATAATTAACTTTGTTCGATGGCTATACATCTAGTCTCATCTGCATGCTGCAGTACTGCGCTTGCTGCAGAGCAAGTCTTTCATTTATCTTCTTGGCGATTTATTGATAAATTCTATATTTGATGATTAGAATTTAGATCATTTGACAAGACTGGGTTGCTCTGATGGTTAGCACCCTCCACTTCCAACTAAGAGATTGTGAGTTCGAGTCACCCCAAGAGTAAGGTGGGGAGTTCTTGGAGAGAGGGAGCCGAGGGTCTATCGAAAACAGCCTCTCTACCCTAGAATAGAGGTAAGGTCTGCGTATACACTATCCTCCTTAAATCCTACTAGTGAAATTATATTGGGTTGTTGTTGTTGTTGTAGACCATTTTCTTAATTAATGAATTAGGCAGAAAACTTCTCTAGTCATTTGTAATGAAATTTATCTATTTGGCCATCCCACGCAACAATCATATTCTTTCGGTTGTTTGGTACAAGGAATAAGAATATTAATTCCGAGATAAAATTTAGGATTATATTTATTTTATGCTATTTAGTTATAGATATTAGTTAATTCTAAAATAATTTTTTTATTATAATAGTGGAATTATTTATTCCATATAAAAAGTGAAATAGCTAATTCCATGTTATATCCTCCCTTAGGATGTTTACCTGTAAAACGGTACAGTTGAATTTATACGTGGTTTCTAGACAAGTGAACTAATTTGATCCTAAAATAATGCAATAATTGAAGAAATATACAATACTTAGCCTTGAAATGTAGATGAAACAACAGAGATGACAGTTCCGGAAATAAAGTTTTCGGGCATAGCAATGATGAGATCAAAAGCAAGTAAGATTGTATTAAGCTTTGCATAAAATATTGTATATGTTTAACAAGAAAATTCGTGTCCTCTACAATGATAACTAAGCTCACTACTTATAACTATGTCTAGGAAAAAAGGTCCTAGGATCGTGCCTTCCTTTAATGTCAATTATGAGGGTCATTGATGAAGACGTAACGGTGAGCATAAATGCCAAATTCTCTGTAACGGACCGTCGCTCTTAATGCTGTAGAATATTCCCTATTAAATGCTACCGGACGCAAAGCATTTAACACACATTTATGAACGTTATCCTTTCCGGTGATAAGCGGAATGGCAGCGTTCAGCCGTGGGCCATCCCCATCTTGGGTTCTACATGTCCTTCCTTTAGATGACCACGTGTCATATCATATTTCACCCTATACATATAGTCCCCCTACTTTCCAGTGACATAACTTGATATTAGCGGGAAGTTGGTAGAAATACCTTTTTGGCGGGAATTACTATAACGCCCTCTGAAGGTTCAAGACAGTTGATTAGACGCACGTCTCTCCGCATTTAATGCCCCGAACATGTGTCACACCATGATTCAGCACAACTTTTGCCGATTATCGAGGTAATCATGGCCATGAATTTAGCCGCCAGAATTTTACTTATACGCAACATTCTTTTCCTTTGCGTTTCATAATTTCTCGAGCTTCCGATTTGCATATTTGTTTTCCTTCCTTTCTCCAATTCTCTTCAAACACAAAACCTTTTCCTTCTTATTTTCAATGTCTTCTTCCTCCAAGCGTGTTGGTTCTTCAAAGAACAAGAACAAAGCCGAGTACTTTGCTCTTCTAACAGTGGGTTCCGGCATCCCAAGAAAACTCAATATCACAAAAGACCCTGATGAGAAATTCCCTACTGTTAACCCTCGTACATGGGTTGTTAGCAGGTACCCTTCTTCCATTCGTCCTTCCAGTATTCGTGTTGTGAAGGAAGACTGCCGCTGCCATGAGTTGGATATCATTGCTCCTGATCTATCAGAGCGAGTGACCCTTCACAGTGAAGGTTTTACATACGTTTACATGTATCCCTTTACTTTGGGTGCGTTTTCTTTGAGCGGAGAGTTTGATTCTATAATTGCGGAGTTTATCCTTTGCTACCAAGTGTGTTTGGCACAGGTAAGTCATTCAGTGTGGAAGAATGTCGCATGTCTTCAACGCTTGTGCCAGGAGACTGGAGAAGAGCTATCCTTAACTAATTTGATGAATCTCTATTCTCCCAAAATCTTCCGCGGGGGAATGATAAACCTCTGCAAGTGTGGCCACCATGCTTTGCTGTCTAGCATGGATTATGGAAACGACCGTGGGTGGATGGAACGGTTCGTTGCAGTCGCCACCAATGACATCATTCCGACAACGGCTTCATCCTTTCTGGCCGATCGGAATCGCACTCGTAAGCTTTTTGTTTAGTATTTCGTTTTACTAGATATTCCTTTATGATCGTATCAACTCTTCACCCTTCGCATGTTTCAGCAACTCGAAGGATCCCACCGGTGGTGGAAGATTTGGACAGGTGGATTGAGAAGATCTTGGACGTCACGACGCACGAAACCTATTTGTGGAAAGAACTGGCCCTTAAATACGGGTGGAAGGCCAAAAATCATGGTAATTTTAAATTACCTTGCTTCCATTTTTTTGTATATGGAGAACTTGGTTGAACCCTTCTGACTTGTTCACGAAACTAGGTCTACATGCGGGCTCTGTTGTTGTACCAGAGGAGGACGTTTTGGCTGATCCTGCTGATGCAGCGAGGCTGCTTCAAGAAGCACTTACTTGAACAGGTATCTCCAGGCCTGTTTCGGGCGCAAACACTTGCTTCTCTACATAGAAGGCGGCGATCCTCATCATCTCAACATGATGCTCGACCTGTTGAGATAGTTACACCAACTGGAGACAATGTCTCGGTATCACGACTCCAATTTTCCTCCATATGATGTCGTGATGGTACCTAGTCTCTAAGACTAGGTAAGCCTATCAATTATGCGGAATACAAAACTGAAACTCAAATCTCAACATATAAAATAAATCAAGTCGCGATTCAAATAGTCATAACTCCCAAAACCCGGTAGAAATAAGTCACAAGCTTCTAAGAATTTATTCTAAGTGTCTCTATACATCAGAGTCTAAAGAAAATAAGGAAGACAATATAATAAGATAGAAGGGGACTTCGGAGTCTGCGGACGCTTGGAAATATACCTCGAAGTCTCCGCGTATGGCTAGTTCACGAATGCCTGGTCTAATAGGAAGTACCTGGATCTGCATAAAAAGATGTGCAGAAGCGTAGTATGAGTACACCACAGCAGTACTCAGTAAGTGTCGAGCCTAACCTCTGTAGAGTAGTGGCGAGGTCAGGTCAGGGCCCTACTGGAAATAATAAAAGACATGACGAAAAGTTTAACAATATCATAATAATAATGACAATGGGAATGAATCAAGTAAGTAGTATGTCACCATTAAATTACACAGAATAAGGGCAAATAATACCTCACTGAAAGAAAATAGAAATTAACAACTTTAAGAAAAATCACGATAATGATCAACGGCAAATGCAGCCATAAAGAAATATCAACAAAGGCACTCCCGAGGTACCGCCTCGTAGTCCCAAATCATAAATAAATTCACAATATCTCATTTTTTTATATCACCGCGGGAGCCTTTACATTTAATTTTAAAGAAAATATTTTTCCGAAAATAGCATCTCGCATTTTAGCCACCCTTATCACACCGCATGACTTCTAGTAGTTTCCCTACTAGCCACGCGTATCACGCCACCTTTATCTCACCGCATGCGTTTCAACACCCAGACCTTATACCACCGCATTCATATCAATAGCACAATATATCACAATTTGCACCTCAAGTGCCCAAATATTACAACTTGCCATAATAAATCAACAACAAGAATATTTTCCACAATAAAGAGTTCACGGCTCAATCACAATGAGTACAAAGTCTCACAAAATATTCAGCAGAATAATATTCATTATTTCCACAATACAGAGCTTACGGCTCAATCACAATGAATACAAAAATCTTCACAAAATATTCAGCAAAAATAATATTTCACAAATTTAACATCTTGACTTAACATCAATTTTTTAAATGTAAAATAATTTATTTTTAATAATATTTAAATTAAGAAATCCAACCTTCAAATAATGCACGGAACAAAAGAAACAGAGTTT